CGCACACACACACACACACACACCACACAGAGCTTTGCAGTGCCGATTCGGTGCCATCGGTGCAAGGCTTTGAGGTTTTTTTTTAGCTCGCCTTGCCGATTTTGCCCTGCACGCCTGCTAACCTTACCATCGTCTGATTCGTCTCACTTTCATCTCGTTTTTTCGGTCGTTCTCAACACTCCTCTTGGCTCCTTAAACCGTCTTTTTCAGAGGGCACCAGAAGAGTGAATTGTTTGGTGGACCCAGGAGTCCTTTCACGCGACAACAGACCAAAAGAACAATCTCCACGCATCTCACGCATGCCGTGGCCAATGTCTTGCACTCCCAGTTCTGGGTTGCCGACCTCAAAAGAGCAGCAACATCACTTGTGCCCACGTAATCCGTGTCACTTGTGCCCACATTGTTCGGGTCACTTGTGCCCACGTTATTAGCGGGGGGGGGGGGGTTGGGGGGGTAACAATAACGTTGTTTCGGAGGTAAGGGCTTATTTGAAGTGCATAGCTGGCGCATGACCGGCGTGGAAAACAGCTCGAAGAGCTGCTTGTTGGGAGAAGCCGGAATGATGCAAGGCACTGCCTTCCGGAACTCCCACCGGTTCCAAAAAGGAGACGCTTAGCTGGAGCATGCTGGAGCCGCCCATCCCGCGAGAGGTTTCGATTCTACACCACGCTTCCCACGCCGAAGTGCATCTGCGCCAAGTCGGTGTGACGAGTGTGAACACCTACTTCTGCCTCTCAGTTCTCTCTTCTTTTGAGGGTGAACATAGTTGAGTCAAGTGATTGTGGGAGAGAAGTGTTCTCTCACTGAATTCCTGTCTCTGACTGAGTTCTGACTTGATGACCTCCCTCTTTCCGCCCCTTCTGTCCTCTGCAAAGACAGGCCCCGCCGCTTTTCTTTGTTTCTCTTTAAACTACTTCTGCTCTCAGATGGCTCTGCGCTCAGTTCTGATATGTGAGAACGGGAGATGGAAAAATTCCCCCCTGTGCTGAGAGAGGGGCTCTCGCATCGCTCCGCCGGCACGACGGCCACGGTGGCTTTCTCCGAGTCGCAGGAGAGACGTGCCGAGAGAGAGCGAGAGAGTGTTCACAAATCTATCTCTTTCTCTGTCGCTCTCTCTCTCTCTCTCTCTTGCTCTCGCTCTCTCTCTCTCTCTCTCTCTCTCGCTCTCGTTCGTGTTCTCGGTTAAGAAACGAGAGGGGAGGGCTGAGAGCACTTGGAGGGTGCTCTTAAGTGTGTTAACTTCTTTTGTTGCACAGCTCTCGAAAAGTGGAGAGAGGACCACTTCGGAGCAACGCTCGTCGCGGATCAGTTCCGACCGCAGCTCAGAAACTCTGAGGGTCTTTTGGTGTTTTTTGGTGTTTTTTGGTGTTTTTTGGTGTTTTTTGGTGTTTTTTGGTGTTTTTGGCGGTTTGGCGGCGGGTTCTCTTGCCATGCCCTGAAGGCCGGATGCTGAGACCAGAGGCCGGGGGCATCAGCCCAAAGCTGCTAACTTTTGCCCCTGGGCCCCTGGAGGGGTTTCAACGAATCTCCCAAAACCCAGGTGCTGCTCGAGGAGGCGCATGTTGCGCTGTCAAACGAACGCTTGGACGCTCTGAGTGGGCTCTGCGTGGGCGCTGGAGAAAGCAATCAGTTTGCTCTTCTTGGGCTGCTCCGCTTTTCGCAAGGCTGGTTTTGCCTTGGATGCCCTGGCCACGCTGAGGCGCAGTGAGTATGACAAAGAATGGCACAGAGTTTTGCCTCAGTTTGTTTCAGGGCCGGCCCGAGCGGCCTTAGCGTCCCTTCGCGGGATTCGACCTCAGTGCAGCTCAGCAACTGGCGCTACTTGTGTGTCTTTCCTGTCGCCTCATCAGGACATGGACATGCCATCTCCTGCATCACAGGAGCCGACAATGTTTAACGCTTCACGCTTTTCACTCCCTGTGCGACTGAAAGGTGGATCTCGCGACTGCTTAAACTAAGTCAGAGTCGTTTTTCACAAGAGAATGAGACATCGTCAGCAGAGGATGGCCCAGACGG